TCTCGAGTTTTCAGCGCGTTTTTGACCCCCAATTCGTTGGAGGTTTTTCTCAACTTGGTTGGCTCCGAGTTTTCCGGCTTTCCTGATAAATATTTATTAATGCGCAGCAAATTGATTTGAGTAATGTTATGATTGTGCCAAGTTGTAACTCATGAAAATCGTGTTTGATGTTGCAGGTATTACAGTGATTATGTAATTAATCCAATTTACACAGCTCAATTTGCTTGTGATGCTTTGATAAGCTGTTTGTGAGCCACCAAAGTGGGTTAACGCATCTTTGACGGTAATTTTAATTATGGTCTTCATCGCTTATGCAATCGACTTTTCAGTTTTACCATCTGTGCGTAGACATCCGATTTTCCTTCATCAATTAGTTTTCTTTTTCGATTTCAACCGACAGCTCATTCAAGGCGAACAGTTTGTTTTTGGCCTATCAAAGCCAACCAATCGTAAATGTGATATATCGTCCGACTGAGCTGGACAATTAAATATATTTACAGATTAGATGAATCAGTGCTGGAACCGTGGCAACATTTATTTTTAGTCATTGCAAAATATTCGGGGAAAGAGAAACCCACCTGCGGTGATTTAGAGCCAAACAGTGCCACCGAACTCATTATCATAAAGTCCAAGCGAAACATCATTTTTCCAGAGTTTTGTAAACCTCTGCTAATCAGTTGAACAAATACGTGGACTCGACAATGCGGCGGCGAGAACTTTTCCCGATAGTGATCGCTTTTACATGAAGTTAGCCAGCCATGCGAACCAGCGACCCGGAGAAACAGATGGGGAGATACTCCTGCTCCAAAGGAAGCGGTTGCAACAAGTTGTTGACACTCGCAGTGAAATGAAATGATATATGGTCCATGTGGGCTGTGCTGCGTGGTTGTCGGGGGGTTAAGGAACTTTACATAATGGTCATGTAGCCCCCGAACGTAACCACCTGGAACCACAGTGCCGGCCACACAAATATTGACACTCTACTGGGAGGGTGGCAGTTGATTTGGAGTGCGACAATGGGACAAGAATTTCACTTTCATAAATATTCAACTTGATCTACAGAGCATCTGGTTTTCTAGACTTATTCAATAGGTTATGGTTTTTGTTTGAATATTTATCATGTTTCTTGATAATACCTCCCCCTTTTCCCATCCACTCTCAAATTGAATTAAAAGGCCGCTAATGAATGCATTTAAAACCGAAAGTCATGGCACAAACAGAAGAGTTTAACACTCTAAATGAGCATGCAAATGGGTCCATTGAGTGCGCTCTGGAGTGGAACCGAAAAAAGCGTATGGAATGGGGGTTAAATGGGGGAGATAAAGTCAGAGACGGAGAGCCCGGCTTTAATTGAAGCGCCGATAAACAAATCCAGTTTAATCAAGTCGGAAAAGCCAAGAACAACCGCAACCAGTTTTTCTGCCTGGCGATCGATCAGAACAGAAGCCTTGAACTAGACCAACAACTTGTGGAAAAGTGGTTTCCAAAAGGGAAGGAGTATTGGGGCAAGTAAACAGAGGACAAGGCCACCGGAGGAATCAATAAGCACGATGGCCATTCGCCAGTTGGAAATATTTCACATGACTTTATAGCAGCTCTTACTTGGCTTACACTTTTTATGAGAATGTTATTGTAGGAAGTGTTTGCCTTTATTACTTAGCTCAAAATAGCGGAAGTACCTTGGCGCCTTAAAAGAGTTATTAGCAGCTGACTAACAGAATATAAGAAAAGTTTTTAATAAGAATTTCCAAGGTCAGGCTTTTAGGTTTTTGTATTTGAATTTGATTATTTCATTTAGTTAAAATTGTAATAATAATATTTCAATATTTTCTTATTTTTAATATTAAATATTATTTAAGAAAATTAATAACAATGTATGCATACATAAAATATATGTATGTATGTATAGTAGCTAACTGTTAACTGATATTTAATAAGCAGTTAATAAGAATTTCCAAAGTCAGGCTTTTAGGTTTCTGTATTTGAATTTGATTGCCTAATTTATTTTAATAATAATATTTCAATATTTTCTTATTTTTAATATTAAATTTTGTTTAAGAAAATTAAAAACAATGTTGGAAGATCACTTAATGAATTGAAATAATATTGCAAGATATTTGATGGGCAATTTTCCTGTAAGAATTTCTTACCTCTTGCGCAGGTTATCCATGAACTTTTCCATGGACACATGATCCAGGAGGACAAAGTCCTGCACTCCTGCTTCCCGTTGCAACGCCATGGTGTCCTTTCGTCCTTTTTAGTTTGCTCACGAGCGGAGAGAGCGAGAGTTCGGTGGAGCGAGGATCGGGGTGCTAATTGCCGGCTGCAAGGGCAAAGGTGAGAGTTAGGACTCAGGTAAGAACGGAGGGAATACCGCGCAAAGCACACACCGAAAAAGAAGCAGCGTTCACTCGGTTTTGTTTTGCTTTTTATATTTGACTTTTTTGTTGCCTCGCCTTTCGCGTCTCGCCTCGAATTTTAAATATATATTCGTATATATATCGTGTTGTTGCTGCCAGCGATTTTTATGTTTTATGAGCCAATTTCGGCCGCTTTGCTGATTGCGACGAACAATTCTCGCTGTGACAACACACACACGACGTCGAAATCGAAGAGCCCCGGAGATCAATAAAGAATATTTCTGGACCGATCGAACGCTTCCAATTGGAATGGAGCAAGAATGGGGAAAGATAGGAAGCAACAAAAATAACGAGAACTCGATCAGGAACCACTCTCACCCTATCTAATAACCGCAAGTTTCGCGACGTCTCCCGGAATAAACATTAATTTTATGATGTGCTGCGATCAAAGATCTCCGATCGGTGCAAACTAGTCCGGAATGCAGCCGACCAATAAGCTTGCCCACCTGGATTCAGTTTCGGCGTAATAATAACAACAATCGGCCGTCGCACAACCGCGTTCGACCGGATTCAAAGAGTGTTTCAGTTAGAGGTGGAGAAACATCGATGGAAACATCGATGCATCGATGTTTTAAAGTTTTCCAGAAACATCGATGTTTTTTTGCGACAATCGATGTTTTTGTCACATCACCAAGAAAACGTAAGTGTCAATTATACGTAAGTGTAATGTATGTAACTTTAGTGTGGTAAGCACGCTTTTGTTGCATACTAACACGCCATCTACAACAGCTATGTTACCACCCTACCAAAGGAATGGAACTTTGATACGGGCTAAGCGATGACTTCAACCGGTCTGTCCATGGGCCTAGCATATATACTTTTCACACTGCATCTTCAAAGTGGTCGCGTAAGGAAAAAAATAAATTATACAATAAGTTAATGCAACTGAATTTTAAAATAGGATAATATTTATTCATAATGTATAAAAATATTTTCTTAATCATTTAAGTAAATAAATTCGATATTTTATTTTTGTTTAATTTTTCATTCTTTTGTTCCTATGGAAGCTATAGGATAAAGACGTCCTATCGGAACACGGTATGCACAAAAAAATACGATTTGGAAAGATTCATGTTCATTTAAATTAAATTTTTAACTTTTTTATTTGCGCCAAAAATGCCAGATTTTCCACTTGGGAAGAAGTCGATTAGCGGAAGCTGATACATATGTACATATGGGTACTTGGGTATTATAATTTCAGTCAGATGTTTGCAACGCAGTGAAGGAGACGTTTCCGACCACATAAATATATAGACATATATATATATTCTTGATCAGCATCAATAGCCGAGTCCATCTAGCCATGTCCGTCTGTCCGTTTCTATGCGAACTAGTCCCTCAGTTTTAAAGCTATCGCGATGAAACTTTCCCAAAAGTCTTCTTTCTATTGCAGGGGGAACATATGTCGGAACGAGCCGTATCGGACCACTATATCTTATGGCTCTTATAGAATAAATCAAAAAAATAATAATAAAAAACTTTGTAGAAAGTAGGCGTTTTTATTTTTGACAATGTAAAAACAACATTTTAAGTAGGCATACCTGCAAGGGTATACATATAAACTTCGGCTGGCCGAAGTTAACTTCCTTTCTTGTTTATTCAGGATTTTCATTTTCAGGACAATTAAGTAAATAAGTACCAAAACCGTACCGGTACCAGCAATACGGAAATCGGTTCAAAATTACATTTTTATTTTGGTCTCGTTAGGGGCTGTCCATATATTACGTAATCACAATTTCGGCGATTTTTGATACCCCCCCCCCATGTAATCAATTCTTCATACAAAAAAAAAAAAAATTTGCACTAGAGTAATCATTTGGTGGACCCCCCCCTAGATGATTACGTAATATATGGACAGCCCCTTACCGGTTCCGGTTCTCTATTAGGAATCGGTTTATTTCGGTTATCGGTTCTGACTTCATTCCCTGAGAAAAATACGTACACGTGCACGTTAAAATCAATAAGAAATGCTATAAGGGGGATTCCCTAAACTGTTGAATTGCTGAATTGTTGAATTTTGGTCAGCTGTTAATCAGCTGTTCCATACAAAGTCAACTTTCAGAAATTTCAGCAATTCAACAGCCTCGGGGCTGATGAAAATTTTGTTGAATTGCTGAAAAGCCAGAGTTGTCACCTTTTTTTAAAAGTCGTGGCAACTCTGTAACATTTTAGTATCACCAGTACGCATTATTTATTTTAAAATCAACTTAGAATGCATGTTTGTGGTTCTTTTTACCTCGGTAACACTTTTAGACAGTAACTAGCAATAATAAATCATATTTTACGTGCTTTAAGTTTCGTGAAATTTTTCAACAAATAACAGCTGTTTGAAAATTCAACAGGAACCATTTTGGGTCGTTCCCTTAATTGCTGAAATTTTTTGTTGAATTTTCAACAATTCAGCAATTCAACAGTTTAGGGAATCCCCCTATAATTTCATGGTTTTAGGCGTCTTGAACAATCTGCAGCTGCATCTCCATAATCTGCATGTTAACTATGAACCATCTAGCTCTTATAATTTCTAGACTTTCATACAGACAGACAATTTGACCTTACGAATCTAAAATAAGGGTAACAGTAAAGGTTAGGGAAATCTAAGTAAATCGCTTCATTTTGTTGCGCTACGAATCACTGTGTAAATTGCATTTTTACGGGGTATTACAGAGAGATTTCTTCCCATATGAAAAACTCAATAAAAGGCTGATCCAGCTGTTTGTTAACCACTGTTTGATCTACTCTCGCAGGAAACAATCTAACAAAATGAAAATTTTCTTCGCGCTTTTCGTTGTGGGAATTTTGGCATCGGCAAATGCTCAACGTCCAGGTTCATTAGCACACGTAAGTAAAATATACACAAACGCCAAATTTATTTATTTATACCAGTCTGTTGGGATATGTCGTAATTACGAACCATACAAAACCAATCTTTTCTTTTAGGATCTCTATAATTGGGTGACCTAGCCAAGCGAAAGAGCCGAGCGGAAAAAAAAAATATATAAAATGCTTTTAAAAGTAAAATAAAAATATTTTCTTCAAGGATGTATTTCCCTCATTGTTAAGCCATTCATCAGGTTTTTGTAAACTGTTTTGGATTTTTTCAAAATAGTTTTTTTTTAGTGACGTGTAAAAAAATGGACAAGTTTTAAAACAAAACAAGAGAGAACGCTATAGTCGGGTTGTTGTCCCGACTATCTAATACCCGTCACTCAGCTAAAGGGAGTGCGAACGCTGTGTTGGGTTGGTGTCCCGACTAATAATCGTAGCTCAGCTAAAGGGAGTGCGAGGGAGATAGATATATAATTTTTGATTGCGTATAACTTTTTAATGAATGGTCCGATTTGAAAAACGTCTTCTACATTTCGATAGGTATAAATATACACAACAAAATTGCATTTATACTTCTCGGAAATCTTTAAAGATGTGGGCGCAGGACCCATTTTAAAATCGTTAGTGGGCGATTGTGGGCGTTAGAGAAGGCGTGGCGCTCGGCTAAAATAAACTTGCGCTGCGTAGGAAGCCAAAGAATATGTGTGGGAAATCTCAACCTTCTAGCTTTTGTAGTTTCTGAGATCTCAGCGCTCATACAGACGGACAGACGGACAGACGGACATGGCTAGATCGACTCGGCTAGTGACCCTGATCAAGAATATATATACTTTATGGGGCCGGAAACGTCTTCTTCACTGCGTTGCAAACATCTGACTCAAATTATAATACCCTCTACAAGGGTATAAAAATTAACACATAAATTTTGACTTGATAATTTTATTTTACCGCAGTTAAAGCTAAAATATGCGACATATTTGAATAACGTCGTGAGGTCACACTGTTTTCAACTCACCACGAACAGCTGTTTCATGGTGGAAACATCCGTCGCCCTCGTAACATTTGATTTGGCTAAAATCGGGATAAAATGAATAAAATCACGCGTGCCTTCATTAGCGTTCTGCGCCAGAGCAGCTCCTCCGGCGGCACCAACACCCTCCTGGGCCGCCAACTCTCCTACAAGAGTGATTTATCCCTGGACAAGCTGTACCCCAGTTCGCGGTTGCAGATCTACACGCCGCCCCCGCCGGTAAGTGGATGCAGTGGCTCCTGGGATTGCCTCTCTTGATATATCCTTTCTCCAGCCACCTGGCAGCGGCAACAAGTTCAGCGGCTTCATTCCCATGGACAGACTGGAGATCACCTACAGCCGGAGCAAGGGTCCCGGAGGGCAGCACGTGAACACGGTGAACACCAAGGTGGACGTGCGCTTCAAGGTGGCGCAGGCGGACTGGATACCCGAGCAGACGCGCCAGAAGCTGCTCAAGGTGCTGGCCAACCGGATCACCAAAGAGGGCTACTTCTACATCAAGAGCGACCTCACGCGCTCCCAGCAAATGAACCTGGCCGATGCCCTGGAAAAGCTGCGCTCCATCATCCGATCCCAGGAGGTCGTGGAAGCGGCCCCGCCCAGCGAGGAGACACTGGAGAAGCTGCGGCGGCGCCAGGAGCGAGCGGCACGCGAACGACTCCAGCTGAAACGAGGTCGCGCCCAGGTCAAAGCGGATCGCCAGGGACCCAGTGGAATAGACTTGTAGTTATTATTGGAAATTGTTGCACAACATTACACATTTACACCTAATTAAGTTATGAAGTCCACTTTGGGTGTTCACTATTACAGATTTGTAAGGAATTGGAATGGCTATACCCTCTGCTAGAGTATAACATATAGTATTTAAATTTATACGAAATCTGTGAAAGCGGAAGCACGAAAGGATCTTATTCTAGGGCAGCTGCTCGTCCACGCGAGCCGGCGTGACTGTAAATCGCTTGGAGCTGGCCACTTGGACAATCGTTTCCCTCGCCGGCTCGTCCTTTCCCATTTGCGAGGGCATGCTGGCAAATCGAGGACGCTGCAAAGTAAGAATTTAGCAACCAGGAAGGACAGAACGGTCACTCCTTACCGGTTGTGGCGGACTCAACTGGATGGAGACTTCGTGGCTCCTCTGCGATGGCCTGCTGACCACACTGTGCCGCTGTCGTCTCTCCACTGGAGGTGCACCACTCCCCATTCTCGTCGCATACAGCTGCTCCAGGCGGTGGATGGTGGAGAAACCGGCACCGGGCGGCTGCATTGAGAAACTGTGTCGGTTGCTGAGCGGCGACCAAGTGTGCTGGTAGTTCGTCTCATCCAGGTGGCGCAGAAACTGACGATTGAGGGAGCCCAGCGCCTGCTGGTCCTCCGTGGCCAAGTTGGCCATTAGCTCGTCCAAAATCTCGGACTCCGTCTCCACCTTTCCGTGCCGCGCCAGCTTTATGTCGTGCTTCCAGAACTGCCTGTTCTTCCGCCCAATCACCGGGGCAATCTCCTTGACCTTCAGCACCAGGATGCCCATCAGGTAGACGCACAGGACGTTGGACAGCGTCAGGCACATGCTGATGCCCCCCAGCACGGCCAGCTCCTTGGCCTGGTTGTCCGAGTAGCGGCGAGACTTGATCACGTCCACGTAAAGAGAGTCGTCGTGCTCGAAGAACTTGTAGATGCAGGCCACGGCCCAGAGGAGCCCAGAGTTAACTGCCGGCGGCAGCAGAGAGGCGGATATGGCCACGCCCACCAGCGAACCGATATTGCCACCCAGGATTCCTATGGCAGCCGCCGCTCCCGAAGGAATGGCCGTGAAGACCCCAACGACCAGGGAGTGCAGATCGCAGCGGGAGAGCATCTCCTCCGTGAGTCCCTCACCGATCCCGTACTTGTGGTCAGTGGTGCAGACGACCAGTCCGAAGAGGAAGCCCACCAGGGTGGCGGTCAGAATGCCGATCAGTTCGTTCAGCATGCCCAGCCGGCGAAGCGATCGGTCCTGAATCACAGTTCCAAAAATAGCAGCGATTATCGGTCCCATCAGTGGGGAAATGAGCATGCTGGAGGCCAGAAAAATCGTGCTGTTCTCCACCAGGCCAAAGCTCGCCAGAACTCTGAAATGGGTAGTTTAAATTACAGGTGCGCCTAAGTAGTAGAGTATAGGATTTCGAAAAGTTCTTCAAATGTATGGTACAAGTTTTCAAGAAGCCAGTAAACTAATCTATATATGGATTAGATTATATCCAACATTTTAGACGTTTTAAATTAATTTTTTAAAATGTTAGTTTTTATACCCTTGCAGAGGGTATTATGATTTCATTCAGTAGTTTGCAACGCAGTGAAGGAGATGTTTCCGACCCCATAAAGTATATATATTCTTGATCAGCATCATTTTTGAAGCTATCGGGATGAAACTTTCCCAAAAGTCTTCTTTCTATTGCAGGTAGTTTATAAGTCGGAACCGACCGGATCGGATCTTATAGCTCCCAAAGGAAGGATCGAAAAAAAACGTTAAAAATGCCAGCTTTGGTGTTTTTTAAAATAGTACCTTCTACTCTTGGGAATATTATTTTTAAAATATTTCTGAATTTCGAATTAAATATTTAACAAATCGTACTACTATATCACATAGCTGCCATAGGAACGATCAAAAAATTAATAAGAAAGTAATAGGAAATCAATTTTAGCTTCCTTGGTTTTTATTGTATTCTCTTCTTCTCTAAATCTTTCTCTTTTTAAATATTTCCGAATTCAAATTTAAATTTTATCAAAATCGGACGAATTTATCATATAGCTCCCATAGAATCGATCGAGAAATTAATTGGAAACAAATAAATTAAATTTAACAAAAATCGGACGACTATATTATATAGATGCCATTGGAAAGGATAGAAAAAATAATGTCAAAATAATACGAAGTTAAAAAATTTTGAGATTTGTAAGTTAATAGGAATGATCTGCAAGGTTATATAAACTTCGGCTGGCCGAAGCTAGCTTCCTTTCTTGTTTTATATGATAGAAATACGTTTAATAGGCTTTACCAAAGCGAGTACTTTTCGAAAACCTTGTCCTATTAATATTCTTTTGAAGCTAGTTCTTACGCTGCAGATACGAGTAGAATGCAAAAATCGAAGGTAATGGCTGCATCCTGGCGAACATCTCTCAGGATCTGGGCCACATTTAATCGGGATCGCACAGAGTTCATGAACCGATTCCAAATGCCCTGCTTCTGGGCATTGATGTACCTTGAAATAGTAATATCGTTAGATTTTAATGGATCGAAACTCCACTTTTTAGGTATTTTACTCGGTGCTGGAGGGCCGGTCCTCCTGCTCCTCGGAAGCCTCGCGCTGCACATAGGATCTGTGGGCCAGGCAGCCGACCACGGACACAGCGGATCCCTCCCGATCGCCGATGCCCCATTCCTGCAGAGCCTCGTAGAGATTCTCGTAGCGCTCGTCGAAGTCCATGGAGAAGCTGATGTGATAGGCATTCCCCTCCAGACTGGGCAGCCAAACGGCATTGGGTATGTGGAATTTCTGCAGGATCTGGCGCAGCACCTGCTCCTGGACAGTGTCCAGTGGCATGTCGAGAAGCTGATCATGGGACGTCTGGATTTGGATCTTTGGCAGGGGATTCTGGGGCTTGTGGCTTTTCATATCCGGGGATTCCCCGATCCGAATGGTGGAAAGGCTGTCGATCGTCGAGGCTCGGCTGACGGTTGCGGTGGGTGTGGCTGTGGCTACCTCTCCGTTGACCACCTGGACGTAGACCTTCTTCAGGCGCTCCTCCTCCGCCTTCGTGGGAATCGTGATTGTGAGGAGCACGGCGGCTGTTCCCGTCATCGCTGCGGTCGGAAATGAATTTCTGGGGCCTGTGTTTACCTCACACTTTGTATGAAATCGATCTAGTGCATAATCACCCGCACACACACGTGGACAAATGGAAACAAATGGACGGACCCGGTAATGCAACTGCAATAATCTTCTTTATACTGGAAGTCGATTGAAGCCGCGCTTGTTATTGCCGCCACTGATAACGGTTCTTGGCTGGGTGCTGCTTCTCGCCGATCTGCCAGTCACCCGGAAAACTATCCCACTTGGCCATATTTAGGATCTTGGTGGAGACAAGCTTTCGCGACTTCCCGCCCTGGTATTTATTTTGAAATCCAGAACCTCCGTTTCTACATTTCTACTTCTGTTATATTTTTATACCATTGCTGAGGGTATTATGATTTCAGTCAGAAGTTTGCAACGCAGTGAAGGAGACGTTTCCGATCTTGGGTGTTTTTAAACATATAATCTCCTACTTTTGGAAATACCATTTTTTATCTGATTCTGAATTTCGAATTAAATTTTATCAAAATCGGACGGGTATATCATATAGCTGCTAACGATCGGAAAATTAATGGGAATACAATAGAAAATAAATTATTGCTTCGTTGGTTTTTATTGTATTATTTTTGCTCTGGAATATGACTCTTTTAAAATATTTCCGAATTTCGATTTTAATTTTATAAAAATCGAACTTCGATACCATATAGCTGCCAAAGGAACGATCGAAAAAATAAAGAGAAATAATAGGAAATTTAACATTTTTGCTATTTGTAAATTAATAGGAATGTTTTGCAAGGGTTTATATAACCCATAGTTGGGTATTTGAAAACGGTTTTACTTAAATTTTAACCGTTATATATTGTGTTGAATAATTTAAATAATTACCTAAATGTACGTGTTCTAAATCAACAATTTATATTTTATTTTAGAAACGCAATTGTGATGTTCAACATTTAAAATGAAATTCCAAATATATACCTAAAAAAATTTCCCGAAAAATATTGTGCAAATTCTATGAGACTATTCAATGATGCCGATTTTCCGGTTAAATGGTGCTCCAAATAATAGGCTCTAGTTAAAAGTAAGCCAAATGACAGTTTGTAATTAACAAATAATTGCCGGTAATTAAATCGTTACTTTTAATCGGATAATAATAAGTGAGTAAGTCGTAATTATTAATTTACGCAAGTTGTCGAAGATGATACAGAACAGATTCGATATTTTAGAACATCCCAGGTATTAAGGTTAAAGGGCGCATCTTCAATATTGCGTTATTGTCGTAAATGATTCAGTCGCTTGAACAGATTATGTAATCTAATTAAACATTCTCGTTAATTTCACGCTGTCGGTTGCACTTGAACGTCGGCGAGGTTCAAGTTTGGTTAATTGAATGCTCACGGCACGAGTGTTTCTGTGTGCACTTCCATAGACCCGAGAGTCGTGCGAGTCGCAGCCAATTGGCGGATCATTTGTATGCAGGTAGGATGGTGTCATTCTCCAGCACGATAAACAGAGAATTTAAATACATCCATTGGCGAAGAAACAAACTTTATTTGATACAAAAACATCAGAGCTTCTCATATGTACAGGCAATCGCAGCGAGAATGGAAGTGTGTATGCCACTAAAACTGACTAAACAATAGCTGGAATTGCACTTAGCAAGGTTCTTTAGCAGGCTAAAAACGATTAAAATGCGTATAGGAGGCTATCATCTACACAAATGCAGATACGACTACGTTTACGATATATAAAAGTGCAATGTTGAAATGGAAAAGCGCTTCGGAGGAATCTCCCAAGCTGTATGATCTGGTGCCTAATTTCCCGGTTATCTCCTCTCCTATTCTAAATCGACTCTCGGTTGTCTTACAAACTAATTAACAGCATATTGGGCAAAGGGCAAGGCTCAAACGTTGCGGCGCCTAGAAGCGGATCTCGTTGCGCTGCACCTGGTCGTACACCTGGGGCGTGAGCAGTTCGTACCGCCCCTTGGAGGTCTGGTAGTACAGCGAGTCCTTGATCGCGGCCGGATCATAGCCCTCCTTCTGCAGGTCCACCTTGCGCAGCTTGAAGGTGCCGGTGAGGTCCACCTTGGTGAGCAGTCGGATGATCTGGGGACGCGCGTAGGCGGGCAGCACCTTGGCCAAGCCACCGGCGAAGACGTCGAGGTCCAGCTCCCGGTCGGGATCATAGATGGCGGCCATGCCGGCCCTGCCCTCGGTGTGCGGAATGGTCACGCCGTAGACCACGGTGTCCTTGTAGCCGGCCACATTGCTGACCTGCGCCTCCACCTCGCTGGTGGACACGTTCTCGCCCTTCCAGCGGAAGGTGTCGCCGGTTCGGTCCTTGAAGTACAGATAGCCCTTCTCGTCGGCCACCAGCAGGTCGCCGGAGAGGAAGGCCATGTCGCCGTGCTTGAACACATCCTTCACGATCTTCTTGGCCGAGGCCTTTTCGTCAACGTAGCCGAGGAATTCGCGCGAGGGATTTCCCTTGACAATCTTGCCGATGAACACGCCCGGCTCGTTCGGAGCGCACAGCTGGCACAGGCCATTCTGGTCCCGGATGGGCTCTCCAGAGTCCGGATCGGCGCGAATGATCGAGATCGGGTAGATCTTGGGCAGGATGCGCGACACGAAGCCGATGGCGCCCACCGTGTTGTCGTGGTTCATGATGTTCGCGTTGCCCTCCGTGGCGCCGTAGAACTCGCCCACCTTGGCGATGTTGAAGCGCTCCACGAACTGCGGCCAAATCTGCGGACGCAGTCCGTTGCCAAAGACCAGGCGCACCCGGTGCTTCTGGTCGTATTCCGATGGCTTCGTAGCCAGAATGTAGCGGGCCATTTCACCGATATACTGACCGATCTGCAGATCACAATGGGCGAATTAGAGGGCGAATTAGCTGGGCAATAAATCCCACTTACTGTTGCATTGTACTTGGCGCAGTCGGCAAAGTAGTTGGATGCCGAGAACTTCTTGCGAATGGAGACCGTCGAGCCGAAGAGCACCGACTGACCCATGCACATGATGCCCCCAGCGGTGTGGTACAAAGGCAGGGGGGTGTAGAAGATGTCGTCCTCCCGGAAGCCCATGGTGTAGTGGATGCCAGCAGCGATAAACAGATACCTGATGGAAATGTTATTGATCATGATAATCCAAAGAAAATAATGGAAAAGGTAAGACAAGATAATACTCACCGGGAGTGGGAGATGACGGCCGCCTTGGGCAATCCCGTAGTGCCAGAGGTGTAGATGTAGACCAGCTTGTCGTGGTGGTTCACCTGCGTCTTGTTGGGCTTCTCACTGCTGGCGGTGGTGAGCAGAGCGTTCAGGTTCTTGGCCTGCGGGATGTTCTTCTCGGTCTGGCTGTTGTTGTTCTCATTGTTGAACTGGAAGAGGGTGAGGCCTTCGGGCAGGTCCTTGGCCACCTCGGAAACAGCTTCCAGGAAGTCCTCGCCGTAGATGAGGGCCGTGCAGTGGGCCACCGTGATGCTGTGCAGCAGGGAAGGACCGCGCAGGTTCGTGTTGATCAGCGGAGTGATCACGCCGATCTTGGAGAGACCCAGCCAGGTGGCCACGTACTCGGCGCGGTTCTCCAGCAGCAGGGCCACCACATCGCCCTTCTTGTAGCCTTGGGCCTGCAGCACGTTGGCCACCTTGTTGGAGTGCTCGTTCACCTGGCGGAAGGTCCAGCGCTGCGTCTCGCTGACCACGGCCACCTTTTCCGGATGAATTCGGACATTCCGCTCGAAGACTTCCGCAACAGTGCAGTTGAGGCGCTCATGGCGTTTCGTGTACCTCAGGAGCTTGATATAAGCCCACAGAGCTCTGAACAAATAACGAATCAAAATGGAAAATTAATCGGTAAAGTTCCGTAACATCTTTTCGTGCTTTTGATATTTTTAAAAAATACAGGGCATTTTTTACGACATAACAAATTAAATTAACATGTAAACTAAAATTAAGTATAGTCATCAACATGCAGCAGATAAGCAGTAAAGATAAATAAACTACTAGATAACTCAAAATACATTTTACCGTACTATATTTGATTTTTATTTAATTTATTTAAAAAAAAACTTATAGTAAAGACTTTTAAAGTTATGATTATTAAAAGATTCATTAAAAGACTTAAATTACTTTCTTTTTTAGTAAAACCCCAGGAAATATAATGAGTCATTATTAATGACATTAAAATTGACTACATCAACCATTTCTTAGACAATTTTCCGTTTTATATTTAAAAAGATTAATAGAAAAAACGGTGTTTGGTCCCTGATTCAATTATTTGTGTCGGAAAACCCACATAAAGATAGCAAATCCAACGGATACTGATATGTAATTCTGCGTTGAAGGGAAAGTGTTTGATTAGCCATAAGTCGAGGGTAGTAGCCGAACCGCCAGTATCTTCCCTCATCGATCGCGTGTGTTTTATGGTTAGTGGTTGGGGCCAGGCCAGTAAAAATAGCCACAGAAATCGAAGCTCGACAAGCGCAACAGCCGTGATGCGATAAACCCAGAGATAAACCCGCCTGAAGTGGCTGCAATCGAATCCGAACGTGGTAACCTAGTCCGACCATGCGAGCCACAAATTTATGACGTTGCTAAAAACGAGCTGAGTAATGCAAAGTTCACGGGAAGGTCGATGGTGCACAAAAGTTTATTTATTTTGCAAGGGCTCTCCGATGTTTTGGAATAAAGCTTACCTAAGAAAATGAAATAAAAATGTACCCTAATCGGAGAGTTATACATAACTTAAAAATCTATTTACCACATAAATGGTCGAGCGAGCCACTGTAATATCTTATCTCTGAAGAGGATTAATGGATTTACTTGAAACGTTTTTACTTGAACAATTACTACTGTTTGAACTAGCTATCAATATTGAAGAAGCCATGTACGAAGTGAAGAAACATAGTGGCCCAAGCCAGATAGCATTTATCATTGAGTTTCTAGTTCAAACAATCATACGTAAATACTTCTTTGTAATTTGTTCAACTGTCTGTTCTGACAATCACTCTGTAATTATTTGATAATTTGCAACTCAAATTTGCAACCCTTTCTACAGCAAAATTTAGAAGAGTGTTCCGGTCTGAAAGCCATTTCAAAGCACTCGAGATCTAGAGAGATTTGATACGTTAAGTAAATGTGTGTGCTGTATAAGCAATCCAAATCGTTCGTTTTTCCGTGGCAAACATAAGCCGCAATAGTTCGATGGGCTGTATATTAGAAAGGGGAAAAAACTTGCACTCGACTTGGGACTCACTCGACCACATCGACGATCTCAATTTGAATTCGCTTTGGCGCTTTGCACCCGTGCGTACTTTGCACCGCCGGCAGGGCAGTGAAGTGTCGATAAGATTGCCGGCTAAGCAGTTAGCTAGCTTAACGCCAAACGCTCGTTAGCCGTGTATTTATAGGGGTTTAATCAGGCCTTATGACCCCCATCGAGTGGTTTGTTTGGTATTTTTGGAAGTGCTGCACATGTTGGCTCGGAGATAAGTCAGCTGCCGGACGAGGCAAAATTTCGATACGAGCCCAAGGTTGACCGGCCAGACTTAAAGTTGATCTTAAGAATCTGTTGTGAGCGCAGATATACGAATGAGTACATATATACGAGGTACGTAAAGTCGAAACCAGTGTTGGCCTTGGCATGGAACTTGATCTGCTGTGTGAGGCTCATTAAAGCACAAAATGCTTAGCAAATTAAATTTTGAAGTTTATACTTGAATTTTAGTTTTCAAGCAAGTTTAAGTGTAGATAAATATTTCAGAGAATTGATTAAAATACGTGAAGCATAAGTCATTATATGAATGCGCTTTAAGGAGTAGGTGTTAAAAATAAACGATTTTTTAGTAGTATGCAATCTTAATATCTCTTAAACGAAATTATTTTTCCATTGTAGGAAACGGAAAGTCTTACACTTCCGCTATTTTACTTATATTGATTATTAAAAAATTGTTTAAAAGTATATGTATTCAAACCGTAGTTTTTTAACCCTAGTCTAACAAAAAACAAAATAAATCAAAAAAGGGCTAAAAACAAATTATAGCTGTTACTTTCAAAATTTTTTTTGTAATATTTTTTTGTTTTTGGGAAACGGATCTATCTTTCTTATAGAAAACCGCAACAACAGCCCTGGCAACCCTAGACGACTCGGAATTTAAAGACTGAGGAGACACTTCCGCCATTTTAATTGGCCAAGCTTTGGCTTTTTGGCGTACGTTTTCAAGAACAGATCGGTTAGTGTGCCAGTAGTCTTCCGCCTGACGCACTCGATCAGATCGATTAGTATGCGCGGAGGGTTTCGCTGGGCGACGATCGTACGAAGTCAATGGTAAATAATAATAAAAGTGAGTTTGTTTTGGTTTTTTTTGGGCTGGGCGACCTTGAACCTGAAGAAGTCAATAAACCTCGTAATCGAGTAATGCAAACTAATATTTCCGTAGACTATTCGTCATAGCTCAGGCTATTTCCCCACGAAGTGAAGTTTTCTCTTTACAGTTTTCCCACAAGCAACTGGAAATGGCTGCTGCAGATGGCAACCTAAATTGATGGAAAACGAGTTTTTCTGCGGTTTTGAAAACGAGGGGCGAGGTGCGGGGTACAAAGTACTTGTACTCGTACTCGGCTGATTTTCAGCTTTCTGATATTCTAAATGGATTCACAAAAGAAAAGCCCAGATATATTGTATTGAAATGCACACCGCAAGGGGGCGGTATTGTAAACCCATCACCGATTGTTTTGGGTACAGTGTGCCCTCGCTAAGGGGACCCCCACTCACGTCAGATCGCGACTAGCGGTGGCGCCCGCTATGTAGAACCAGCGCCATCCGGGTTTCGTCAGCAGCAGGGCGACCAGTGCGACGAGCACAGCAAAAATCCAGCCCATTGTGTGGAGCGTGTAGATGACGCAGGCGATTGCCAAGCCGAAAGCGACCGTTGCGCAGAAAAACCGAAATATGACTAAAAACCGCTGGCGTCGTCTTCGCTGTCGATCGTGCGATCCGTAGGCTATCGACTTCCGATCGGCCGGGCGCTGCGCGTTGCCAGATCGCCGGAAAAGGAAGACCGTTATTTAATGATCACAAATTTGAAGTCTTTTCTCACATTGGTGCTGTACAGCGCGCAGTTGTCAATGTTTATTATCACATTGCTGTTCACATGGTTGTCCAATAAGCTGTTGTGCTGCAAAAGATTACAATAAATATATATGACGCAGTTGCTGTATTGCTCCATATGTTGCACATGTTACTTACTGTAAGCTCGGGCCTCGAGTGACCAATATTGGAACTGTTGTAACGCAAACGCTGATAACGTTCGTTGCGCTGTCACAAGAATCCATTGAACATATAGAACGGCAGAAAGTGTCGGCGGGCCTTGCGAAATAACATTTTTCGGTGATTTAATAGCTGCTAACTTTTCCAACAATTGCAGTTGCTTGTTTTGGTTTTGTAACTTGTCCTGTTTGGTTTTTAGTAAAAGCTTTTTATGCTGCAGTTTGGAACCAGATCGAAAGAAAAGTTTGACTAAGCTATCGGCATAGATTCCACCCCTAACTATCGGATGGCAGCGCCAATCCATCAGCTGACTTAACCACTAGGTGGCAACGCTCGACGTCACTGCAAATGTTTTGTTTTATTTAGCGGGTTTTTTTTCGTGTTGTCTGAAATCACCGGCACAGCCATGAAGATCCTTTGCGAGGTCCAGGTGGTGAACCGCACCACCCAGGCCAACCGGACGCCGCGACCGGTGAAGTCCACGCTGGCCATTGGCTACAAGCAGAGCGCCAGGGACGCGAACGGGAACACCAAGAAGGAGCTGGAAATGGTCCTCTTCAGCGGGCAAAACAAGACGGGCAACCGCTACAAGGTGAAGGACAACATCCACGCCGTGCACACCAAGTTTGTGCTCGACGGCAAGGCCACCATTGGCTTCCTACAGCCGCCGGACAACCTGCTGATCAAGTGCGACCCCATCCAGCTGAAGGGCTTCCTGCAGACCCTCAAACTGGGCATGGACGGCAAGGAGGCCATCAATTTGAGACTGAACATCGCCGCCGCCACGGCCATTCCGCAGAAGGCGCAGCCCCAGGTGCGCATGGTGGTCAGCAAGCGGAGCGAGTACCCCATCAAGGGATTCCCGCGCACCCTCAAGTCGCTGACCATTAACAACAGCCAGCTGGTGAAGCTCAGCTTCGAAATCTGCTCCCTGCGCAACCTAACGAAGCTGGATGTCAGCGGCAACAAGCTGACCAAGGTAGATTGGCCAGCGATGTACGAGCCTTAAATCATTTATCTTTTCTCTTAGATTCCCCCTGAGCTGGGTCGCCTGGCCCTGACCACGCTGCACCTGGGCAGCAACTGCCTGGGTGAACTGAACGACTGGTGCTGGCTGCGGGGCAGCAGGCTCAGTCAGACCCTCGGCGAGCTGGATCTCTCGAGCAACGGACTGACCCACTTCCCACCGCCGCTGGTAAAGTTCGAGCGCCTGGTCTCGCTGAACCTCAATCACAACCTGCTGACTCGTCTGCCCTTCGCCATCCGGCGGCTGCAGGCTCTGCGAAAACTGCACGTGTGCAGCAACAAACTCGAGTCCCTGCCCGCTGCCATCGAGGATCTACACATCGACCTGTTGGACGTGTGGGGTAATTGCTTCAAGTCCTTCAATGCAGAGGCCGATCAGCAGTTGTCGCGGCAAAAGGCGACCGCCAACTCCCCGCATCCCCTGTGGCTCCAGGCCGCCCGCGCCGTGGACAACTATAAGCTTCCATTGCCGGCGGCCTCCGTGCCCTCCATTCTCATCGAACTGGTCTGCGAGGCACCCAAGTGCCTGTGCGGCAAGCTCTGCTTCGCCCTGAGCAAGGAGGATATTTTCCAGCGAGTCACCCTGCCGAAATTCACCAACATCAAGAACCTCACCTACAGTCGCGAGCACCAGATCTACGCGGATGTAGTCCTTTGCAGCCCCGTCTGCAGTGTATCAGTGCACCGGTGCATCGGTATTTTCAGCATTAAGCTTTGATTGACTGATTCAGCGGCACTTATTTTTAGCTCTAAGTCAAGTTACGCCAACGATTTATTTATATTATAAGCGTGTCCGTCTTACTGGGTTACCAAAAGGCGAAGAAGCTCTTATTTATGTATACAAATATTTATATTTCTGAAAACTGGCCATGTTTCACCTTATACAATTATTTTTCCAATTTTCTATACATAGGTACATTATTTTGTTGAACTGAAACTGCCAATAAAAGCGAATTTACAATTAAATTAGACAATAAGTGTTTAAAAATTTGTTTATGAATACAAGCACCCAAAATCCAAACGCCCGTGTTTAATGTCATAAAGCAAATTATGAATGTTGTTGGACAAAGCTCTTCAGATAATAATAGCACTACATAACTTGTAAAGTTTCTTGATAAAATGGAAATCATATTTGTTTATCAACCACAATAGAATGTCTTTAAATACACTAGGCAGCATAATTATTTTGACAGATTCGAATGTTAAATGTAGTCTCATTTTGAACTTTTAATATAAACTTTTAGCACCAATAGAGGACTTCAATTCCGTTTAAATGACACAAAAATGTTCTTAACCCTTAAGACCCCTTTGAAAAGTGAGCAAATTTTGTGAAAGTCAAATTTTAAACTTTTTTCCTGGGGCTTAAAATAAAAACATTAAAATAAAACATTTCATGGATCATTGGCAGAAGCCCAGGATGCAAGGCGCTATGTATGTCTATTATCGGACCCTAAAATCAGTGCAGTGCCTACTGCGTTTCCGCACTTCAGCCAGTGATAGATCACATAGGAAAAGAGCAGCAGAATTCAAATACCTGCGAAATTAAGTTAAATGAAACTCAGGCGAAACTAGATCGGATAGAGTGCCAGCTGAGGGCGACGCAAATCCAAATGGAAGGACAACGGATCGCCCTTCAGACAAATTTGACCCAGGCTGTCAGCACGGCCCAGCAGGACCTCAAAGAAAAGCTGGAAAGGATCGAAGGCAATCAGACAATCCTGGTAGACCGAGTGCAAGAGATAAAGAGCGATACGAAGAGCCAACTAACCGCATTGCAGGACACACTGTCCAAAGTTGACCGGAGAACCATGCTGCTGAACTACCAAAGGATAGGCAATAGACTTTTTTACATTGAGCACAATTTAATGGTTAATTGGTACACAGCAGTAAAGCTCTGTGTTGAGTTAGGTGGCCATTTGGCAGCATTCAAAAATGACGAAGAGTTTAACGGAATTACCCAACAACTGAAACAGGAAAACTACTGGTTGGGCATATCAGATCCCAAACAAAACGGCCAATTTACAACTGTGGCCAGTGGCAAAAGAGCTCCCTATTTCAAATGGCGTTCAAATGAACCAAATTATAACAAATTCGCTCGAACTGATGAGCATTGTGCTTACGTCTATGGAGTCAGGAACTATATGATACTTCTTTCATGCACCCAAGATCTTATGCATTTCATTTGCCAAGCAGACAAGGATGTGTAGAAAGCTATGAAAATATGAACTACTAATGACACACAGAATCCATTTATATAACACAGGTCAACAAAATGGACTTTATTAAAAGGTGCAGGCCTATTGGCATTAAAACATGTTAATATAGACGTATATAAGAATATCTGCATACTTCGTTTTCGCGTTTAACGGGTGGTATTTGTGCAATCGCGGTTTGAAAAAAATAGCAACATTTAATGTTTTGATTTAAGATATCTTCGACGGTCTTTGCCCAACTGTATTAAAACCTATGCCAAAAATGGCTTAGATGCCCATCTACATAATTGCATTTAAGGTTCCATTATTATTTGAGTCAATCAAAGCCTATGAGCCATTGAAGTAATTTGTTCACCTCTATTCCCAACCAACTCGATGCGGTGAACACGCTTAAAAAAATACAAGGAAAAATATATGCCCTAAAATATTTTACAGGCATCTAGAGGCGTCTTTCACCGAATTTTTAAGACAAATAAGACCATTGTACGTCGAAGGATGGAATTTATAGAATTTTTTCCGTAAGAACTTAAAAAGTAACAACTATTTTTAAATCCCATTTTACATAAATATCTGACACATTCGTAAAAATGTGCCTTTCAATTTGGTTAGCAGTAGGCGCCGAACATAGACAAATTATATTTTTAAGGGGTTAATATGCCTTAAAAAAAATCCCCACCACAATTTTAAGGCGACGCCACTGTTATCTTTAAAAAGCCTACTGTGTAAAATCACGACAAACTCGTTACGTAAGAGTGACTCTAAAATACTTGTTACTTTTCCCATTCTTACGGAAAAAATTCTATAAATTCCATTTTTCGAAGTACAATAGTGGGATTTATCTCAAAAATTCGGGAAAAGACGCCTCTAGATGCATGTAAAATATTTTAGGGCACATATTTTTCCTTGTATTTTTTTAAGCCTGTTCACCGCATCAAGTTGGTTGTAAATAGAGGTGAACAAATTACTTCAATGGCTCATAGGCTTTTATTAACTCAAATAATGATGGAACCTTAAATGCAATTATGTAGAAGGGCATCTAAGCAATTTTTTGGCATAGGTTTTATTACAACTGAGCACAGACCCTCGAAGATATCTTAAATAAAAATATAAAATGTTGCTACTTTTTTCAAACCGCGATTGCACAAATACCACCCGTTAAACTCGAAAACTAAGTATGCAGATATGCTTATATCCGTCTATATTAACACAATTTAATGCCCATAGGGCTGCACCAAAAACACTGTTGGCCTGTGTAATTAATTTACTTTACAGGTACTACTTTTAAAAGTACTATCATTCCAAAAAAAAATTTACAAGCACTTGTATTTGTGTGATTTTGTAATAATAAAACAAAGTTGACATTTTTGTAAGCGTTTTTATCAAATTTTACAAAAATTGTGCAAACTCAATATATTTAAAAATAGTTATTCCTATTTGGGACGCAGCCTATGAGTTGGATACTCCTTGGGTGCAGGAAATCTTCTTCCTTTTCGCTGCTATAAAGACATTCACACGCACGCTTGGTTGCTTACTTTGTTTTCGTATTACAGAAGCTCGTTGTTTTTATTATTAAAAGCTTCGTGCGTATGTGACTTGCATAAACGATTTTTTATCAGCCGGCTCACCTACTCACTCCACTGTGCGTCTTCTTACGTCTCCACCACACTCGCTCATCCCTTTAATACCCTTACTGGTTGTCCTTTCATTTCATAAGATATACATACCACAAGTGGTTTAGAATGTCTAAATATTTGTAAAGGAGTTTTTAAAAATATTATTTTCTACAAATATAGCTCAGAAAAAAACCACGATCGAAATAAAATAAACTAAAGATATTATTTTTATTTAATATTAAAATCTTATTAATGAGAGGTACTATCACCTATAGTATTTATTATTCCGTTACTAAAAATGATATCTTGGATAGGGTATTCAGAGTATGACAAACCTCACATTTCCTGGCTTTTTCCTTATCGTTTGTCGTTCCTTTGCTTTTCTTTTGCTTTATCAAATCAAAACTTCGAAGCGATGCCACTTTTTTAAATAAGCATAAACAGGGACACAGCCTTGCAGGACTCTCCCACTCGATTTCTAGGCTTTAATGTGCAGCTGGGAAATAAGGCGGCGAAGGCTGAGGTCCTTTCGGAGCGAAAGGCGAAAAGGATGAGCCATGACTTGTAGCAAACTCGAGCCTAACTATAAAAATGTTTATCAGCATTTGGCTGAAGCAGGGGCGGTGGGCAGTGGGGGCTCGGGAATTTCTCTAAGCTGCCCCAAATCCAATTTTGAGCAGCATTTAAGTGTCCTGGCTTCGCTTCCGCTTCCAGCTCCCCATCCTTATCCTTGTGCCCATCCCTTTGCAGACTTTCCTTTTTGTTTGCTATGCAGATGCGTGAGTGGGTGGGTGGTTGGGAGGCGGGGCTGTCGATTCGTGTGTGAGTTTGTTGGCCCACACGATGTCCTTTTTGCTTTTTGGCCCTGACTTTGTTGCTTTGTGTGCGCAAATATTTGGCATGACTTTACATTTGCACTAAGCCCAAAAGTAGCCAATAGAATCGCCTAATGGGTCGCAATCTCTGCCCCATGTGCATATGGAATTTTCGATTTGTGAGTGGAATTTGTCCCTTGTAATGTTTAATTAGAAAAAACATTATTTGATTTTGAAAAGAGTATCATACCAAATATTTTGAAACTCATTTAGGGTGTTCAATTGCGTTGCAAACTTTGTAAAGTGTAAAAGTGTAAATCAATTCCAACAACAATTTCTATACAAAATAGTTTAAAAGGCCTACTTTTGAAAACTTTTTTGTATAGAAATTGTTGTTGGAATTGATTTACACTTTTACACTTTACAAAGTTTGCAACGCAATTGAACACCCTAATTGTAAAATAAGTAATTTTTTGGTTCATAAAATAAGGTCTAGTAAAATCCTATTATCAATTTTAATGGGGGACCCTGTACATGTTCATAGTTATGATAATTTAAATTGTGGTATTACTTACTTATACTACTTTATTACTTTTTTCCTAAAATTAAAGGCCCTTTAGAGTAAGATGCGCCAAACTTTTTGGTCTTGTCGTCTCAGGCTCTTGAAAATGTTGTTAGCTCACAAATTTATATATTTTATGTACCCATAAATGGAAAAATCCGTATAAAGCATCCAGACCATATAAAAGCGTTTCGAAATTTGGTCTGTCTGGCCCCCTTCTCCCAATAAAACCAACCAACCCCGAATCATTTGCACTGTTCCCAGCCTAAAACGAAAAGCAAAAAAAAAAAAACGAAACAGCAAAAACCAACATCAAAATGTGCCAAGTCAGCGGGGGGAATGGAAATTTAGCAGGTCCCCCAGAAATACCCCCCACATAAAGTCCAGAGACAGTAAAAACTCCATTAACTGTCATCAAAAATGCATTTCGCATGCATCAAACCAAAATGGTAATGGCCAGGGGATCATCAAATAGAATAGAATGAAATGGCGCAAATCAAAACACATTGGCATAAATCAAAGGGCAGGGAAAAAATTTTCGGAGACCGATACCACTTTTATGGCTAATCCTCGAAGGAGGCCAAAGTCAGACCCGGACAGATGACTCCCCTGGCAACATTTTTATGCGCAAATTAACTTTGCAATTGCCGGGAGTTGGGAGTTGTGGGCTGACTCCGGGCATCTGGGGTGGATGTCTGGGTGTTTGGGGCGCTGTGTCACTCCCCCTGCATTACATAAAATTTATCCCCAATTTGCGTGCAGCGGGTAAACATTTTATTTGACTCGTCTGGCGCTGCTCCACTTTGGCTTATCAAATTTTATTAGCAGGCCGGCAAATTGTGCAACAACAACAGAACAGAAGAGAAGAGAACACAACATCAGCCACCACATTACGGGCCCAATAAGCCGTGGAGCCACAAGCCACCCCGAAAACCGAGTGCAGCCCAGTCTGTCGACCTCCTCACAAGGTATGATTTGTCGTCCGCTATCAATTTCTTTAACACAATACCAACATCCCCCATGGAGGAAGGAAAAGCAAGCGGAAAAGTGCAAACACACGCGAAACTGTCGGCGACCCCCTCGGTTTTCCCTCACTTTTTTTGGGGGGCTTGTCGCCCAGACGCGTGCAGGGATCTAATAAAAACGTTTTGATAGGCTTATGACCGCCTTCTATGAGGCCTGGTCCCATTCCTTCAGACCCTGTATATTTGTCTTAATAATATTTCAAATTTACCCGCTAACTGTTACAGCAAATTTAGATAAGACCCACAAAAAATCAATAAACTCACTTAAAGACTTATCCAAGAGGGGTGGAAAGCTGTTTACCTTAAGAAGTGACTGAAGGAATTCGCAAAAGCCTGGGGTCTTTCCTTCAAGGTATATTGAAAAGATATTTTTATACTATTTAAGATCTAAGAAATTACACAATCCGAAGAGTTTCGAAAATTTATATTCAGGAACTAGTTGATTTGTCAATATAGTTTATTTATTTTATTTATTTTTCCAAATTTAAACTAGTATTTTCTTTCCATTAAATTTAGTATTGTAATGGAAAGAAAATGGCACAGGAAACTGAAGTCCTTCGGCCTGAATATAGTTTATAAAAAGAAATCTTTCTAAAATCGTTGTACATATTTTTATAATTTAAGAAACTTACAATAAATAAACCTAACAAGTCGGTTTACTTAAAAAATGGTTAGGATACGACTGCAATCTGTACCGAGCTCGACAAAGCAAAAGCCGACCAATTGGTCGGATATCATTTCCCTTGCACTTTCCATATATACAATTTAAAAAGCAACCGGGAATGTATGGGCACAATGATGGATCCCAATTGAATATAGAATTGAAAGTCACTGAGGCACACTTATGTTGGCAAATGGTCCATTCTCCACCCCTCGAATTAGACTTCCCTTATCGAAAACACGCTCCCAGGGAATTCTCTTCCATCCGACCGCGGGCCAAAGGCGAATCAATCTGAAAAAATTGACCAACCAGCAAGGAAAACTGGGAA